CCTGTTTGTTGCACTCAGTGGGGAAGAATTTAAGTTAGGGCTGAAAAGTAGCATTTTGTATTTGAAAACACTGCTTTGAGAAGGGGCTCATAGGTTTCACCATTCTGCCAAAAGGGTCCCCAGCACCAAAAAAGCTACAAACATTTTTGAAGACTGGGACTAATTATGAGAAAACAGAACAGGCTCTGTCCTGGTGGAGGCAAGCACATGTCTGGGCAGCAAACGGAGCAGAGGTGAATCTTGACCTAGGTTTGGAAGGCTATAGGCTATAATAGATTTCCCCCTTGGTATGTGTACATGGGGTCAAGTGCACATGGAGGAATACTAATGACAATAATAACAAATATATGTGCAGCTCTTGACAACTTACCAAGCAACATTTCTAATTTACAGGTGAAGCAAATGAGTTTCAGAGAGGGACTTGCTCCAGGTTTGCAGAGCTGGTAAGGGCAGGTTGTGCATTTGAACCCAGGCCCTCAGGTTCCAAATTCTGTGGAGTGAGAAAACAGGCGATGGGTTGTCTTGTCTGGAGCAGGGAGGCCACCGGCAGGCTGGTGAGATGGAAGGGAAGTGGGTGGGGGACCTGGAAGGTGGGGCCAGGCAGGGCCTCTGATGCAGGAGGCCCTGGGGCACCCATTCAGGTTCTCCTGGAGGGGAGTGTGTTGGGATCCAGTTACCTGTGCCCTCCGAATGACTTCTGTAGGTGTGTTTAGTGACATGCTCAGCAAGTGTGAGAAGGATGGGCCGGTGCCAAAGGCCAAGCCCAGAAATGTTTCAGATTTTTCCTTTATGCCCCTGCAACCAAGCCCTGCTGCTCCAGCACATATAAGAGACCCAGGCTAGCGCTGCGGCATTCACCGGCCTGACCCCTCTTGCTTCTCTCTGACAGCTCAGAGCTCACTCTCCTCTCTCCAGCCATGATCTCCAGACAGCAGTGTGTCCGAGGCGGGTCCCAGGGCTTTAGCTGTGGCTCGGCCATCGTCGGTGGGGGCAAGAGGGTTGCTTTCAGCTCGGCCTCCATGTCTGGGGGTGCAGGCCGTTGCTCCTCTGGGGGCTTTGGCAGCAGGAGCCTCTACAACCTCGGGGGAAACAAGAGCATCTCCATGAGCATGGCCGGATGCCGGCAAAGTGGCGGCTTTGGGGCTGGGGGAGGTTTTGGGGCTGGTGGCTTTGGTGCTGGTTTCGGCGCTGGCAGCTTTGGTGGTGGATTCGGAGGCTCGTTTGGTGGACGGGGTGGTCCTGGCTTCCCTGTCTGCCCCGCTGGGGGGATTCAGGAGGTCACCATCAATCAGAGCCTGCTGACCCCACTCCATGTGGAGATCGACCCCGAGATCCAGAAGGTCCGGACTGAGGAGCGAGAGCAGATCAAGACCCTCAACAACAAGT